AATTTCCCGTTGACAAAAGTGTGCTTACCTTAGGCGAAATAGAAATCAGAGATGAAATAAAAGGAGAATGCACCGCATTAAAAAAAAACTTCCCTGTTCCAGACTTCTGAATGAGGAAAATTAATTTAAACAGACCGAGAAAAAAGGAAAAGAAATAAAAGGTGGCGCGTTTAATGTTCACGATTTCGATTGTAATATCGGTGGAAGAGGAACTTGCGTGGAAAATATTGTTTGACGTTTCTATTAGAGATCGATGACGATGGTGGTACCGATGCGTAGTCGCGTGTAAATCTTGACGTGCTACAATCACAGGCCGAATCAGCGAATCGGATAAAAGTAATTCGTGATAAAAGCGATTTCCCGAGCCGCGCGCGCGGAATGAATAATAAACGCAGCTGAAACGCGCATATCGTCGGCCAATTATTCGAATCGCGAACAATTCTGTCGAAACTTGTTGATTTAACGAACGAACAGTCAACCAGATACGTTCCGCTACGAAACCCTTCATTTTTGTTTGCGCCGTTTTATCAAACGATGTGTCGTTTGAATTTGATCAGCTCGATTGCCGGCGAATCGAGTAGAACAACTTTACAGCGGAAACACAGAGAAAGTGACATCTTTGTGTCATTACACTCCGGTCCATAAATTTCGGGACAACCGATGTTCTAGCAGAAGAAGTTTCGCAATAACTCCTCCATTTTGTAATATTTTTGTTTTTTGAAAATTTGAGAAAAAAGCTGAAGGTTACATTTATATCCCGTGAAAAAATTGAAACTTTTCGTTTAGTAATTGCCTACGAAAAAAATTCCTAAACTTTAGCTATGTCTAGATGCCTCAGGGTGGTGTATACTCTTAAGAATAAATAATTATTATAATTACAAAATGGAGAAAACACTATCTAATTATTCATGTCATAAAGGAAGATAAATTATTGCGTTTCTGTAAGATCTTAGTAAAAAGTAATCGCAATGAACGTTATGTGAAGAAGTGTCAGCTGTCCGGGAACATTTCAGTTGCATAATTTTTGTTCGCGATAATATTAAATTTAATAAAATATTCTGGAAAATATAAACAAGCTTCAAATTAAAACATTTTCAATATTATTTTAAATTCGGTTTTACGATTCCCATAAATAATTCCACAGATGCTATTGCTACTTCAACATGAATCAAAGGATCGAATCGATAGGTATACTAACTGAGGCTTGATCAAAATTTTCTCGATAAATATGACCAAAAAAAAAAAAAAACTGTTCCATGGTAATCGAGAGAACTGCAGACGATTCGATTATGCGTTAGATTTAATGGCGGCGTTTATCAGGGTCGCCTGCACAAAGACACAAATGATTTTTCGACTTAGGTTTCATGGGTGAAAATCCCGAGAATATTGAAATCATAACGTACCAGCCACGAATATTATTCGGTTCTTAGGGCAATATAATCTGAAATCGATGGAGCGACGTGAAATAAATTTGACACCCTGCTGTTCACTGTGAACTTGACGCTAGCGAGAGAGGTATAGTCGGTGGAAGAAATATGGCGAAATCGTAAATTGAAACATTAAATATTTTCTATCTTTCGATAAGAACTGACTGAGGTTTCGGTTCATTTATCTTCTTAGATTTCAGTCGATATGCTCGACAGTGTAAACTTTGAGGCCTAAACGAACTTACGAGCTCGCTATATTTCTTCCATCGACTATACCAACGATCCGGGTGAATCTCGATTAAGAGATAACGAGGATTTCAATATTCGTATCCTTAACAATGGAAAATTATACTTTTCCCTTTTCATTCCTCTAATTGTAATTGAAGGAATTGCAATTGTGAACTTTGCTGAATAAATGGAAACAATTTTGAGTGCCCTTTGAATTCAACAGAGAACATTTAAAGGGTAATAATTATTTTGAAATTAATTACCATCGAATAACGATAGTACAAAATTACATACTTTGTACGTGTATTTGTTAATTTTTTGCAAAAGCTAGTCACGTCGAATTACACACGACAATCGGATTTTTCAATTATTGCTAGTTTTCCACATGCAGAAAGTAAAAAAAGTGCCGTATAATTGCGTCCACCTTTCGATATCGAAAATTGCA